GCACACAGACACAGAATTGTTACTCAGGGCCACAGAACTGTTACTTACTTAGGGACAAAGAAACGCTAGTTAGGGCCACAGAATTCATACTCAGGGACAGACAGACAGAATTGTTACGGAGTGCCAGAGAATTGTTACTCTGGGCCACAGAAACTTTACTTAGGGCCACCTTAGGGCCACAGAATTTTTACTCAGGGACAGACAGAATTGTTACTGAGTGCCCAGAGAGAATTGTTACTCAGGGACAGACAGAATTGTTACGGAGTGTCAGAGAATTGTTACTCAGGGACAGACAGAATTGTTACTGAGTGCCAGAGAATTGTTACTTAGGGCCACAGAAACTTTAATTAGGGCCACAGAATTTTTACTCAGGGACAGACAGAATTGTTACTGAGTGCCAGAGAATTGTTACTCAGGGACAGACAGAATTGTTTGAGAGTGCCAGAGAATTGTTACTTAGGGCCCACAGAAACTTTACTTAGGGCCACAGAATTGTTACTCGCACAGACACAGAATTGTTACTCGCACAGACACAGAATTGTTACTGAAGGCCACAGAACTGTTACTTAGGGCCACAGAATTGTTACTCGCACAGACACAGAATTGTTACTCGCACAGACACAGAACTGTTACTGAGGGCCACAGAACTGTTACTTAGGGCCACAGAATTGTTACTTGTTACTCGCACAGACACAGAATTGTTACTCAGGGCCACAGAACTGTTACTTAGGGACAAAGAAACGCTAGTTAGGGCCACAGAATTCATACTCAGGGACAGACAGAATTGTTACGGAGTGCCAGACAGAAATTGTTACTACTCAGGGCCACAGAAACTTTACTTAGAGCCACACAGAATTTTTACTCAGGGACAGACAGAATTGTTACTGAGTGCCAGAGAATTGTTACTCAGGGACAGACAGAATTGTTACTGAGTGCCAGAGAATTGTTACTTAGGGCCACAGAAACTTTACTTAGGGCCACAGAATTTTTACTCAGGGACAGACAGAATTGTTACTGAGTGCCAGAGAATTGTTACTCAGGGACAGACAGAATTGTTACTGAGTGCCAGATAATTGTTACTCAGGGCCCCAGAAACTTTACTTAGGGCCACAGAATTTTTACTCAGGGACAGACAGAATTGTTACTGAGTGCCAGAGAATTGTTACTCAGGGGACAGACAGAATTGTTACGGAGTGCCAGAGAATTGTTACTTAGGGCCACAGAAACTTTACTTAGGGCCACAGAATTGTTACTCGCACAGACACAGAATTGTTACTCAGAGGCCACAGAAATTGTTACTTAGGGACACAGAAACGCTAGTTAGGGCCACAGAATTCATACTCAGGGACAGACAGAATTGTTACGGAGTGCCAGAGAATTGTTACTCTGGGCCACAGAAACTTTACTTAGGGCCACAGAATTTTTACTCAGGGACAGGACAGACAGAATTGTTACTGAGTGCCAGAGAATTGTTACTCAGGGACAGACAGAATTGTTACGGAGTGCCAGAGAATTGTTACTTAGGGCCACAGAAACTTTACTTAGGGCCACAGAATTGTTACTACTCGCACAGACACAGAATTGTTACTCGCAGTGCCACAGAATTGTTACAGGGACACAGACAGAATTGTTACTGAGGGCCACAGAAATTTTACTTAGGGACAAAGAAACGCTAGTTAGGGCCACGGAATTCATACTCAGGGACAGACAGAATTGTTACGGAGTGCCAGAGAATTGTTACTCAGGCCACAGAAACTTTACTTAGGGCCACAGAATTTTTACTCAGGGACAGACAGAATTGTTACGGAGTGCCAGAGAATTGTTACTCAGGGACAGACAGAATTGTTACTGAGTGCCAGAGAATTGTTACTTAGGGCCACAGAAACTTTAATTAGGGCCACAGAATTTTTACTCAGGGACAGACAGAAATTGTTACTGAGTGCCAGAGAATTGTTACTCAGGGACAGACAGAATTGTTACCGAGTGCCAGAGAATTGTTACTCAGGGACAGACAGAATTGTTACTGAGTGCCAGAGAATTGTTACTTAGGGCCACAGAAACTTTAATTAGGGCCACAGAATTTTTACTCAGGGACAGACAGAATTGTTACTGAGTGCCAGAGAATTGTTACTCAGGGACAGACAGAATTGTTACGGAGTGCCAGAGAATTGTTACTCAGGGCCACAGAAACTTTTTACTTAGGGCCAGCCAGAATTTTTACTCAGGGACAGACAGAATTGTTACTGAGTGCCAGAGAATTGTTACTCAGGGCCCCAGAAACTTTACTTAGGGCCACAGAATTTTTTCAGGGACAGACAGAATTGTTACTGAGTGCCAGAGAATTGTTACTCAGGGACAGGGCCACAGAAATTTTACTTAGGGCCACAGAATTGTTACTCGCACAGACACAGATTGTTACTCGCACAGACACAGAATTGTTACTGAGGGCCACAGAACTGTTACTTGGGGCCACAGAAACGTTAATCAGGGGACACAGAATTGTTACTGAGGGCCACAGAACTGTTACTTAGGGCCACAGAATTGTTACTCGCACAGACACAGAATTGTTACTCAGGGACACAGAATTGTTACTCAGGGACACATAATCGTTTAATTAAAGAGTATGTCAGACAACATGCAGAGGAGTGGCAGAGGAGGCAATGTTTTAGGAGCGAGCAGACGTGGCAGCAGAGGAAGGGGTCGAGGCAGCACTATTCGCAGCCAGAGGCCAGTGCTCCCGGTGTCATCCAGCGGTCGTGTCTCCACCGACAACCCTGCCGTCGTCGATTGGTTGGCTCGGTCGTCTTCCTCTTCCCAGGTCACCTCTGACACCTACAGCCAACGGTCGGTGGGTACGTCAGACACAACCGTTAGTTGGCATGGCCCGGGACCTGCCCACTGAAATCACGTGTCCTCTACCTGCCCCTGTCCTTTGGTGTTCCCTCACCAAGCGAAGTATCGCATGCTGTGGGCTCAGCCCCACTGTACAGTGAGGAAGAGCTAACAGAGGGCGGTCAGGAACGGGGGGAGACATCCGCCTTTTCAGCAGCTAGGCGAAGAAGTAGTGGCGAGGAGAGTGGCCCGGTAGCCGGTCTAGAGACAGGTCTGTCTCCTGACCCAGACGCAGCCGAGGGGGCTAGTAGTGAGGCGGAGACCCTACTTGATGATGAGGAGGTTGATCGCACTTGGCAGCCTCGTCGTCATCAGGCAATTTCTTCCGCATCATCAGGAGAAGAGGGTGGCAGCTTGGCAGTGAGCGAAACAGTCGGTGGGTTGCCCAGGAGACAGCAGGAGGGTCGCAGCAGTGTCAGTGGAAGCAGTGTCAGTGGAGCCAAACGGCCACGGAGTAGAGCACCAGCTCCACTGCAGCCTACCACCACGCCCAGTAGTGGTGCCGGTGTGCACGGAGGAAGAAGCAGCAGTCAGCCAGTGAGGAGTATCGGGGGCAAAGTTTCCTACTCGGCGGTGTGGCAATTTTTCGTCAAGCCGCCCGAGGAAGTAAACGTAGCCGTATGTCGACTATGTGGCCAGAAAGTCAAGCGTGGCCAGGGGGCCCATGTTGGGACTATTTGGGCCATGTTGGGACAATGGGAGACCTCCCATTGCTGCTGTCTCCATCGCCACACTCTGCCATGTGCCACTTTCAGGTCTCCTCACACACTGCTGGTGTGTTAGAATTTTTTTGACATAGGGTGCTGGCAGATTACGGGCCTCCCATAGCTGCTGCCAGGCCCCTAATCTGCCATAGGCCCCTATATACCGCCTCCTCATGCTGCTGCCCAGGTCCAGAGTCTGTCATGGGTCCCTGTACGGCCTCCCATTGCTGCTGTGTCTCCATCGCCACACTCTGCCATGTGCCACTTTCAGGTCTCCTCACACACTGCTGGTGTGTAGAATTTTTTTGACATAGGGTGCTGGCAGATTACGGGCCTCCCATAGCTGCTGCCAGGCCCCTAATCTGCCATGGGCCCCTATATACCGCCTCCTCATGCTGCTGCCAGGTCCAGAGTCTCTCATGGGTCCCTGTACGGCCTCCCATTGCTGCTGTCTCCATCGCCACACTCTGCCATGTGCCACTTTCAGGTCTCCTCCACACACTGCTGGTGTGTTGAATTTTTTGACATAGGGTGCTGGCAGATTACGGGCCTCCCATAGCTGCTGCCAGGCCCCTAATCTGCCATAGGCCCCTATATATACCGCCCTCATGCTGCTGCCAGGTCCAGAGTCTCTCATGGGTCCCTGTACGGCCTCCCATTGCTGCTGTCTCCATCGCCACACTCTGCCATGTGCCACTTTCAGGTCTCCTCACACACTGCTGGTGTGTTGAATTTTTTGACATAGGGTGCTGGCAGATTACGGGCCTCCCATAGCTGCTGCCACCCCCCTAAATGCCATAGGCCCCTATATACCGCCTCCCGCCTCCTCCATGCTGCATGGGTCCCAGGTCCATTGCAGTGTCTCCATCATGCCATGTGCCACTTTCAGGTCTCCTCACACTGCTGGTGTGTTGAATTTTTTGACATAGGGTGCTGGCAGATTATGGGCCTCCCTATAGCTGCTGCCAGGCCCCTAATCTGCCATAGGCCCCTATATACCGCTTCCTCCTGCTGCTGCTGCCAGGTCCAGAGTCTCTCATGGGTCCCTGTACGGCCTCCCATTGCTGCTGTCTCCATCGCCACACTCTGCCATGTGCCACTTTCAGGTCTCCTCACACACTGCTGGTGTGTAGAATTTTTTGACATAGGGTGCTGGCAGATTACGGGCCTCCCATAGCTGCTGCCAGGCCCCTAATCTGCCATGGGCCCCTATATATACCGCCTCCCATGCCTCCTCCATGCTGCTGCCAGGTCCCATTGCAGCTGTCTCATGCCATGTGCCACTTTCAGGTCTCCTCACACTGCGTGTGTTGAATTTTTTGACATAGGGTGCTGGCAGATTATGGGCCTCCTATAGCTGCTGCCAGGCCCCTAATCTGCCATAGGCCCCTATATACCGCCTCCTCATGCTGCTGCCAGGTCCAGAGTCTCTCATGGGTCCCTGTACGGCCTCCCATTGCTGCTGTCTCCATCGCCACTCTCTGCCATGTGCCACTTTCAGGTCTCCTCACACACTGCTGGTGTGTAGAATTTTTTGACATAGGGTGCTGGCAGATTACGGGCCTCCCATAGCTGCTGCCAGGCCCCTAATCTGCCATGGGCCCCTATATACCGCCTCCTCATGCTGCTGCCAGGTCCAGAGTCTCTCATGGGTCCCTGTCACGGTCTCCTCACATTGCTGCTGTCTCCATCGAACTTTTTTGCCACTTTCAGGTCTCCTCACACACTGCTGGCAGATTTGGGCCTCCCATAGGGTGCTGGCAGCTTACGGGCCCCCTAGCTCTGCCAGGCCCCTAATCTGCCTAGGCCCCTATATACCGCCTCCTCATGCTGCTGCCAGGTCCAGAGTCTCTCATGGGTCCCTGTACGGCCTCCCATTGCTGCTGTCTCCATCGCCACACTCTGCCATGTGCCACTTTCAGGTCTCCTCACACACACTGCTGGTGTGTAGAATTTTTTGACATAGGGTGCTGGCAGATTATGGGCCTCCCATAGCTGCTGCCAGGCCCCCCTAATCTGCCATAGGCCCCTATATACCGCCTCCTCCCTCTGCTGCTGCCAGGTCCAGAGTCTCTCATGGGTCCCTGTACGGCCTCCCATTGCTGCTGTCTCCATCGCCACACTCTGCCATGTGCCACTTTCAGGTCTCTCTCACACTGCTGGTGTGTAGAATTTTTTGACATAGGGTGCTGGCAGATTACGGGCCTCCCATAGCTGCTGCCAGGCCCCTAATCTGCCATGGGCCCTATATATATACCGCCTCCTCATGCTGCTGCCAGGTCCAGAGTCTGTCATGGGTCCGTACGGCCTCCCATTGCTGCTGTCCATCCATCTCGCCACACTCTGCCATGTGCCACTTTCAGGTCTCCTCACACACTGCTGGTGTGTAGAATTTTTTGACATAGGGTGCTGGCAGATTACGGGCCTCCCATAGCTGCTGCCAGGCCCCTAATCTGCCATAGGCCCCTATATACCGCCTCCTCATGCTGCTGCTGCCAGGTCCAGAGAGTCTCTCATGGGTCCCTGTACGGCCTCCCATTGCTGCTGCTGTCTCCATCGCCACACTCTGCCATGTGCCACTTTCAGGTCTCTCCTCACACTGCTGGTGTGTAGAATTTTTTGACATAGGGTGCTGGCAGATTACGGGCCTCCCATAGCTGCTGCCCAGGCCCCTAATCTGCCATAGGCCCCTATATATATACCGCCTCCTCATGCTGCTGCTGCTGCCAGGTCCAGAGTCTGTCATGGGTCCCTGTACGGCCTCCCATTGCTGCTGTCTCCATCGCCACACTCTGCCATGTGCCACTTTCAGGTCTCCTCACACACTGCTGGTGTGTAGAATTTTTTGACATAGGGTGCTGGCAGATTTACGGGCCTCCCATAGCTGCTGCCAGGCCCCTAATCTGCCATATGGGCCCCTATATACCGCCTCCTCATGCTGCTGCCAGGTCCAGAGTCTGTCATGGGTCCCTGTACGGCCTCCCATTGCTGCTGTCTCCATCGCCACACTCTCTGCCATGTGCCACTTTCAGGTCTCCTCACACACTGCTGCTGGTGTGTTGAAATTTTTTGACATAGGGTGCTGGCAGATTACGGGCCTCCTATAGCTGCTGCCAGGCCCCCTAATCTGCCATAGGCCCCTATATACCGCTCCTCATGCTGCTGCCAGGTCCAGAGTCTCTCATGGGTCCCTGTACGGCCTCCCATTGCTGCTGTCTCCATCGCCACACTCTGCCATGTGCCACTTTCAGGTCTCCTCACACACTGCTGGTGTGTGTAGAATTTTTTGACATAGGGTGCTGGCAGATTACGGGCCTCCCATAGCTGCTGCCAGCCCCTAATCTGCCATAGGCCCCTATATACCGCTCCTCATGCTGCTGCTGCCAGGTCCAGAGTCTCTCATGGGTCCCTGTACGGCCTCCCATTGCTGCTGTCTCCATCGCCACACTCTGCCATGTGCCACTTTCAGGTCTCCTCACACACTGCTGGTGTGTAGAATTTTTTGACATAGGGTGCTGGCAGATTACGGGCCTCCCATAGCTGCTGCCAGGCCCCTAATCTGCCATAGGCCCCTATATACCGCCTCCCTCATGCTGCTGCCAGGTCCAGAGTCTCTGTCATGGGTCCCTGTACGGCCTCCCATTGCTGCTGTCTCCATCGCCACACTCTGCCATGTGCCACTTTCAGGTCTCCTCACACACTGCTGCTGTGTGTGTAGAATTTTTTTTTGACATAGGGTGCTGGCAGATTATGGGCCTCCCATCCCAGCTGCTGCCAGGCCCCTAATCTGCCATAGGCCCCTATATACCGCCTCCTCATGCTGCTGCCAGGTCCAGAGTCCAGAGTCTGTCATGGGTCCCTGTACGGCCTCCCATTGCTGCTGTCTCCATCGCCACACTCTGCCATGTGCCACTTTCAGGTCTCCTCACACACTGCTGGTGTGTAGAATTTTTTGACATAGGGTGCTGGCAGATTACGGGCCTCCCATAGCTGCTGCCAGGCCCCTAATCTGCCATAGGCCCCTATATACCCGCCTCCTCATGCTGCTGCCAGGTCCAGAGTCTGTCATGGGTCCCTGTACGGCCTCCCATTGCTGCTGTCTCCATCGCCACACACTCTGCCATGTGCCACTTTCAGGTCTCCTCACACACTGCTGTGTGTGTTGAATTTTTTGACATAGGGTGCTGGCAGATTACGGGCCTCCCATAGCTGCTGCCAGGCCCCTAATCTGCTGCCATGGGCCCCTATATACCCGCCTCCTCATGCTGCTGCCAGGTCAGTCTCTCATGGGTCCCTGTACGGCCTCCCATTGCTGCTGTCTCCATCGCCACACTCTCTGCCATGTGCCACTTTCAGGTCTCCTCACACACACTGCTGGTGTGTTGAATTTTTTTTGACATAGGGTGCTGGCAGATTATGGGCCTCCCATAGCTGCTGCCAGGCCCCTAATCTGCCATAGGCCCCTATATACCGCCTCCTCCTCATGCTGCTGCCAGGTCCAGAGTCTCTCATGGGTCCCTGTACGGCCTCCCATTGCTGCTGTCTCCATCGCCACACTCTGCCATGTGCCACTTTCAGGTCTCCTCACACACTGCTGGTGTGTGTTAGAATTTTTTGACATAGGGTGCTGGCAGATTACGGGCCTCCCATAGCTGCTGCCAGGCCCCTAATCTGCCATGGGCCCCTATATACCGCCTCCTCATGCTGCTGCCAGGTCCAGAGTCTGTCATGGGTCCCACGGCCTCCCATTGCTGCTGTCTCATGCCCACTCTGCCATGTGCCACTTTCAGGTCTCCTCACACTGCTGTGTGTGTAGAATTTTTTGACATAGGGTGCTGGCAGATTACGGGGCCCCATAGCTGCTGCCAGGCCCCTAATCTAATCTGCCAGGGCCCCTATATACCGCCTCCTCATGCTGCTGCCCAGGTCCAGAGTCTCTCATGGGTCCCTGTACGGCCCTCCCATTGCTGCTGTCTCCATCGCCACACTCTGCCATGTGCCACTTTCAGGTCTCCTCACACACACTGCTGGTGTGTAGAATTTTTTGACATAGGGTGCTGGCAGATTACGGGGGCCTCCATAGCTGCTGCTGCCAGGCCCCTAATCTGCCATAGGCCCCTATATACCGCCTCCTCATGCTGCTGCTGCCAGGTCCAGAGTCTCTCATGGGTCCCTGTACGGCCTCCCATTGCTGCTGTCTCCATCGCCACACTCTGCCATGTGCCACTTTCAGGTCTCCTCACACACTGCTGTGTGTGTAGAATTTTTTGACATAGGGTGCTGGCAGATTACGGGCCTCCCATAGCTGCTGCCAGGCCCCTAATCTGCCATAGGCCCCTATATACCGCCTCCTCATGCTGCTGCTGCCAGGTCCAGATCTGTCATGGGTCCCTGTACGGCCTCCCATTGCTGCTGTCTCCATCGCCACACTCTGCCATGTGCCACTTTCAGGTCTCCTCACACACTGCTGGTGTGTAGAATTTTTTTTGACATAGGGTGCTGGCAGATTACGGGCCTCCCATTGCTGCTGCCAGGCCCCTAATCTGCCATGGGCCCCTATATACCCACCGCCTCCTCATGCTGCTGCTGCCAGGTCCAGAGTCTGTCATGGGTCCCTGTACGGCCTCCCATTGCTGCTGTCTCCATCGCCCACACTCTGCCATGTGCCACTTTCAGGTCTCCTCACACACTGCTGGTGTGTAGAATTTTTTGACATAGGGTGCTGGCAGATTACGGGCCTCCCATAGCTGCTGCCAGGCCCCTAATCTGCCATAGGCCCCTATATACCGCCTCCTCATGCTGCTGCCAGGTCCAGAGTCTGTCATGGGTCCCTGTACGGCCTCCCATTGCTGCTGTCTCCATCGCCACACACTCTGCCATGTGCCACTTTCAGGTCTCCTCACACACTGCTGGTGTGTTAGAATTTTTTGACATAGGGTGCTGGCAGATTACGGGCCTCCCATAGCTGCCCCTAATCTGCCAGGCCCCCCTAATCTCCTCATGCTGCTGTGCCAGGTCCAGAGTCTATCATGGGTCCCTGTACCGCCTCCTCATGCTGCTGCCAGGTCCACAGTGTCTCATGCCATGTGCCACTTTCAGGTCTCCTCACACTGCTGCTGTGTGTAGAATTTTTTGACATAGGGTGCTGGCAGATTACGGGCCTCCCATAGCTGCTGCCAGGCCCCTAATCTGCCATAGGCCCCTATATACCGCCTCCTCATGCTGCTGCCAGGTCCAGAGTCTCTCATGGGTCCCTGTACGGCCTCCCATTGCTGCTGTCTCCATCGCCACACTCTGCCATGTGCCACTTTCAGGTCTCCTCACACACTGCTGGTGTGTAGAATTTTTTGACATAGGGTGCTGGCAGATTACGGGCCTCCCATAGCTGCTGCCAGGCCCCTAATCTGCCATATGGGCCCCTATATACCGCCTCCTCATGCTGCTGCCAGGTCCAGAGTCTCTCATGGGTCCCTGTACGGCCTCCCATTGCTGCTGTCCATCGCCACACTCTGCCATGTGCCACTTTCAGGTCTCCTCACACTGCTGGTGTGTTGAATTTTTTGACATAGGGTGCTGGCAGATTACGGGCCTCCTATAGCTGCTGCCAGGCCCCTAATCTGCCATAGGCCCCTATATACCGCCTCCCTCATGCTGCTGCCAGGTCCAGAGTCTCTCATGGGTCCCTGTACGGCCTCCCATTGCTGCTGTCTCCATCGCCACACTCTGCCATGTGCCACTTTCAGGTCTCCTCACACACTGCTGGTGTGTAGAAATTTTTTGACATAGGGTGCTGGCAGATTACGGGCCTCCCATAGCTGCTGCCAGGCCCCTAATCTGCCATAGGCCCCTATATACCGCCTCCTCATGCTGCTGCCAGTCCAGAGTCTCTCATGGGTCCCTGTGTACGGCCTCCCATTGCTGCTGTCTCCATCGCCACACTCTGCCATGTGCCACTTTCAGGTCTCCTCCACACTGCTGGTGTGTAGAATTTTTTTGACATAGGGTGCTGGCAGATTACGGGCCTCCCATAGCTGCTGCCAGGCCCCTAATCTGCCATAGGCCCCTATATACCGCCTCCTCATGCTGCTGCCAGGTCCAGAGTCTCTCATGGGTCCCTGTAGTACGGCCTCCCATTGCTGCTGTCTCCATCGCCACACTCTGCCATGTGCCACTTTCAGGTCTCCTCACACACTGCTGGTGTGTAGAATTTTTTGACATAGGGTGCTGGCAGATTTACGGGCCTCCCATAGCTGCTGCCAGGCCCCTAATCTGCCATAGGCCCCTATATACCGCCTCCTCATGCTGCTGCCAGGTCCAGAGTCTCTCTGTCATGGGTCCCTGTACGGCCTCCCATTGCTGCTGTCTCCATCGCCACACTCTGCCATGTGCCACTTTCAGGTCTCCTCACACTGCTGGTGTGTAGAATTTTTTGACATAGGGTGCTGGCAGATTACGGGCCTCCCATTGCTGCTGCCAGGCCCCTAATCTGCCATGGGCCCCTATATACCGCCTCCTCATGCTGCTGCTGCCAAGTCCAGAGTGTGTCATGGGTCCCTGTACGGCCTCCCATTGCTGCTGTCTCCATAGCCACACTCTGCCATGTGCCACTTTCAGGTCTCCTCACACTGCTGGGTGTGTTGAATTTTTTGACATAGGGTGCTGGCAGATTACGGGCCTCCCATTGCTGCTGCCAGGCACGTAATCTGCCATGGGCCCCCGTACCGACTCCTCATGCTGTGACGTTGCAACAAGGTGGAATTCAACCCTACATATGTTAGACCGCCTTTACGAACAGCGAAAGGCCATCACGATTTCCTGATGTTAAAAGCGGATAAAGGTACTCCCTGTGTAACTTAGATGTCAGCCATTGGCAGCTCATGCGTGACACCTGCGCTTGCTCAGGCCCTTTGAGGAGGCCACGCTATTCGTGAGTCGGCAGGACTATGGGATGAACGACGTCATTCCTCTGTTGCACGTCCTGGAACAAATGCTGTTAACAATGGCTGGTCAGGGTGCGGTAGACGTGGCGCACAGATCTCAACGCCACATGACCCCTGTGGGGGCAGGACAGGAAGAAGAGGAGGAGGTAGAGGAGGACATTGGTGCTCAGGAATTATTGAGTGAAATGGGTGGTTTTTCCACTCAGCGGACAGGAGTGGAGGAGCAGGAGCATCTGGTAGAGGAGGAGGAGGAGGAGGAGAGACAGAGGACCCAGACGCACCGTGGCAGTATGCTGTGGAGATGGAGGCAGGGAGTCCCTCGCATTCCTTGGCACAAATGGCCCATAGCATGCTCGCTTGCTTGCGTAGCGACAGCCGAATAATAACCATCAGACAGAGGGATGACTTTTGGCTGTCCACCTTGTTGGACCCTCGCTACCGTTCAAAAATGGTGGCCTTTTTCACACCTGCTGAGAGGGAGGCCAAAATAACGTACTATAAAAACCACCTATGTAGTCAGCTGGTCTCTGCCTGTCTGCGCCAACGTCCATCCTCAGACACTGTGGGCCCTGTGCGCTCGCGCGTTCCGCTGCCATGGCAGCAGGGGAGGGGTGGGGTGGTAGGAGCAGTGGCAGCTCCACCAGCAGCGGCTGCCTCAGTCTGCAGTCGATGATGAGTAGCTTTCTTCACCAGCGCAGTGAGGAAACTACTAACCAGCCGCAGCAGCAGCAGCAGCAGCAGCATCAGGTGGACCTGGAGCAGGACCTCAAACAACAGGCTTAGGCCTACTTGGACAGCACCCTGCCAACCGAGGTAGACAATCCCCTTGACTACTGGGCAACGAAACTTGACCTTTGGCCCCAACTAGCTGAATTTGCCTTGAAAGGCTGTCATGCCCATGCCCGGCCAGTAGCGTGGCATCGGAGCGCGTGTTTAGTGCGGCAGGAGGTATTGCAACTCCGCGGAGGACACGACTGTCCACCCAAAGTGTGGAGAGACTGACGTTTGTGAAAATGAATCAGGCGTGGATTAGTCTGGATTTCAAACCACCAGTTCCTGACACAACTGACTAAATCCGCCATGAATCATGCCCCAAACATGTGCCACTTTCAGGTCTCCTCACACTGCTGGTGTGTTCCATTTTTTGTCATAGGGTGCTGGCAGATTACGGGCCTCCCATAGCTGCTGCCAGGCCCCTAATCTGCCATGGGCCCCTATACCGCCTCCTCATGCTGCTGCCAAGTCCAGAGTCTCTCATGGGTCCCTGTACGGCCTCCCATTGCTGCTGTCTCCATCGCCACACTCTGCCATGTGCCACTTTCAGGTCTCCTCACACTGCTGGTGTGTAGAATTTTTTGTCATAGGGTGCTGGCAGATTACGGGCCTCCCATAGCTGCTGCCAGGCCCCTAATCTGCCATAGGCCCCTATATACCGCCTCCTCATGCTGCTGCCAGGTCCAGAGTCTGTCATGGGTCCCTGTACGGCCTCCCATTGCTGCTGTCTCCATCGCCACACTCTGCCATGTGCCACTTTCAGGTCTCCTCACACTGCTGGTGGGTTCCATTTTTTGTCATAGGGTGCTGGCAGATTACGGGCCTCCCATAGCTGCTGCCAGGCCCCTGCTGCCATGGGCCCCTACCGACTCCTCATGCTGCCAGGCCCGTAATCTGGGCCCCTGTTGTCGCTTGTTGGCATATTCCGCTCGTTCAGATGCTCCTTCTCCTGCTACTCCTCTTCACGGATTCCGTCAGCAGTCTTTCTTGGAATCCGTTTCCAAGAGACAACAGTTTGCGAGCACGCACCAGACGGTGCAGAAACTGAACGTCCTCCTGTCCAAGTTGCTGCTGCCAGGCTCGAATCTGTCATGCGCCCCTGTACCGCCTCCTCATGCTGCTGCCAGGTCCAGAGTGTGTCATGGGCCCCCGTACCGACTCCAAATGCTGCTGCCAGGCCCGTAATCTGTCATGGGCCCCTGTACCGCCTCCCCATGCTGCTGCCACGGTCCAGATTGTGTCATGGGTCCCTGTACGGCCTCCCATTGCTGCTGCCAGGCCTGTAATCTGCCATGGGCCCCCGTACCGACTCCTCATGCTGCTGCCAGGCCCGTAATCTGCCATGGGCCCCTGTACCGCCTCCTCATGCTGCTGCCAGGTCCAGAGTGTGTCATGGGTCCCTGTACGGCCTCCCATTGCTGCTGTCTCTATCGCCACACTCTGCCATGTGCCACTTTCAGGTCTCCTCACACTGCTGGTGGTTTCCATTTTTGTCATAGGGTGCTGTATGGCCTCCCATTGCTGCTGCCTCCACCGCCACACTGTGGCTCCACACTCTGGTTTTGGCCCCGTGACTGCCCAAATGAGTGAAGTGTGCGGTGATTCTAAGATCGACGGCACTCATCTGCATGTCATACTGCCTGACAGTATTATTTCTCTTCCCCAGCAGACTCCAAGGGCATTTAAATTAAAGGTACAGTGTTCAGCACTAATATTAAGTCTCTCTGAAGCCTAGAAACACCCTTTTTTAAGTTAAATTCACAGCGAATATATTCGATGACCTAAACCACAAACCATTTCTCCAAACCCTTCCCAAAGAGATGCCCTCACTTCGCACCTTTGGCCTATCTAAACAAGGCCACATCACAGCCTTGAAAATGATTATTCTCCCCAAACTTCTCTACATCTTTAGGACTCTTCTCATACCCTTACCTATGCAGTTATTTCACATGGCACAAAGACACTTTTCCCAGTTCCTATGGGAATCTAAACTATCTAGATGCTCCAACAACTTACAAATTCGACCTTACCATAAAGGGGGAGTAAGCTTTCCCCACCTACACACATACTACCTAGCCTCCCTATTAGATCAGACCTATTTCTGGTGGCATCCATCCGAACAAAAAAACAGGTCCATCTTAGAAGCCCATAATATCCAACCTAGCACACCTCAATCGTACCTCCTTCTTTGCGCCACCAATAGTAAGCCTACCACAATCCCGCACCCCTGCATCAAAGCTTCGATAGACGCTTGGTCAAATCTGCTATCTTGTTCCCTCCCTAAATCTAACAAAATCCATATTCCTCTCAATACTCTCGCTTTCCTAATCCCAGACCTCAACCTCTCGCCCTGGGAACAAGCAGACGTATCTCTCATTTCAGACCTTTATCACCACTTAACCCCATTAACATTCTATCAATTACAACACAAATACTCACTAATCTCCAATGACAAATTTACATACCTTCCTATTTCTCACTGCATAAAAAATTAGAATCTCCCAAATGCAGCACTACTCTCCCTGCACTAGTACATCAGTTTTCTGAGTAAACCTAATTACCCCCTGGCAAAGATATATCTACTTTTTACTCACTTATAGTACAAGTAAAAAATGCTTCAGAACGACATTCCCAATTACCTGGGAGATCCTCCTCTCTTGCGAGCTCACAGATCAATCTTGGAGCAAAGCATTACTATCATACATAAAGCCTCCCGATGTGCCACACACTGGGAATCCTCAAACTATTCAATTGGTAAAACCTAATCCCCCCTGGCAGACAAAGACTCTATACATACTTCCTGGTCCTGATAATTCAATCAAACTCAAATACATGATTTTTTATACAAGTAAAAACTCTATGGCTTCAGACAGACAACATTACTGGGAGATCCTCCTATATCTCTTTATGTGGTCCAAATCAATCAGAGCAGGAATTTATACATTAACCATATCCCGATGTGTAAATTTCAAACTCCAAAGATGTGAGACAATATGGGACACAATGGGAATCCAGTGTGGTCCTACTGCATAAATCAATCAATATTGCCCTAATGGTATCCTACCTGCCCCAGTCAGTCTATCTTGGATCGTAAAAACTACTTCAACCCCTCCAGATGCTGGAGACAACATGGAGACTCAGGGACCTTATCACATTATGTGTGGTCCTGTAAAGCCAGAAATATATTCAGGAATCTCCCGAGTCTTCGACACAATCAATAACGACCTCGGTTAATATCGCAAAATTTCAAAACTACGCCTGGGTACAAACTACACCAGTCCCCCTCCTTAACAAAAGTTGCTGTCGACTAACTTAGATCTCCAATATATGATATGGATGAAGAGTCCTGTAAATCACGCAGATCCTTCTGGAATCTTACAATTCATTGCGGCCAGGCTTGAGCCACGTGCTGAAGTGAACGGCACGAGGAGAACTAAGATATCCTCATAACTGAGCCAGAAATACAAAGACAATACGCCCTAGTACAGACCTAGCTCCTTCTTCATCTTGGCATAGAAAAGTTCTCCCCAGAACTTCGCACCATTATAATACACCTCTTACACGCAGCCAGAAATAATATAACCCCTGTGGAAAACTACACAGTCCCCCTCCTTAACAAAAGTGGTCGCTAATCTTAATCTCCAATGTGATATGGAGAAGAGATTCTGTAGCTCACACTTATCTTACAATAAATTTTACAGTTGAAGTTTGATGGCTCTTACCTTTTTGCAGCACAATGCTATATACATTAATATGACTATACTAACTTGACTGCAATCTTCAAAGTCTTGAACCCATAAGATTTATCAATATTTCCCCTCTTTATCCCCCTCTCCCCCCCATCTTCCCTTCACTCCTTTTCCTTCCCTCCCTCCCTCCCCTCCTTTCTTCCCCCTTCCCCCCTCCTATGGTTCATATAAACACTATTTGGATGTACGCCTATGTAATACTAACATTTATATACATATCTCTGTACATGTATGTAACCATAGAGAACCTGATTCCTCTTTCCCCTCCCCTGTTAATTTTTGTTCAAAAAAACTAATAAATACAAGTTGAATATAATTGTTTTTTTTCGAAAGTTATAGCTTCTACAAATGGCAGTATATATACTGGAATTTTTCTTTTCATTTTACTAGTAATGGCGGCGATCAACAACTTACAGAGGGACTGCAAAAATACAGCATTCTGACACTAACTGACACTGGGTGGGAGCTGACTAACTGCCATTGACATCTCCAGTGACACTAATACAGTGATCAGTGCTCATAAAAAGCATTGAAACTTTACTAATGACACTGGGTAGGAAGGTGTTAATATCCAGGCGATCAAAGGGTTAACTGTGTGTTAGGGAGTGATTAAACTGTGTACTGTGTAATGTTTGACTAGGGGACATGCTTTCCAGAGAGAGAAAATACCAGCATGTGACTGCTGACAGGAGAGAGATCTGTATTGTTTACACTCACAGATCTCGATCCTGTCAGCTGCTCCACTTATGAATTGCCGGTGATTGACACCTACAGGAGCCAATAACACCCATAAGTGCAAAAACACGTATCTATGTGATTTTGTGCAGTAAAACTGCTGCAGGGAAGTTGGCGAGTAAGAGGACTGCAGAGAGAGAAATATCATTTCACCCTAAACATATCATTAGTAAGACCTCATCTGGAATATGCAGTTCAGTTTTGGGCAGCAATTCACAAAAAGAACATTGGGGAACTGGAGAAAGTGCAGAGAAGGGCAACCAAACTGATATGAGGCATGGAGGAGATCAGCTATGAGGAAAGATTAGAGGAACTGAATGTATTCTCTCTTAAGAAGGGGAGAATAAAGAGGGATATGATCTAGAAGGCCTAGCATCTTTTTTTTTTTTTTTTCAACCTGACTAACTATGTAACAAACTCATACAGGTGTAATGGTTAGGTGTTTATACATTTTTTTGCCCATGTAGTTGTATTGAATGTACTCTACCTGCTTTTTATAATATTTACGTTGCTTATCATCAGATTTTCCTTTAAGAAGGAGTTGCATATTGTGAATCGCTTTGGCCAAGGCTTCAACTGCATAATAAATTCGTGGTGAGACACCTTGATAAACATATCTATCAACATTTGGAAAATGATCGTCCATAAGATCTCCCTCATACATTGTTTTACATGTTATTGTCTCCTTTCCTTTGTTTGCAGACAAGCACTTTGCAATTCCTAAAAAATATTGAGAACCCGATGAATTAGTTGTGCTTTTCATGTTGTCGATTTCATCAAAGAAATTTTGTTTATCTGGAAAGTACAGAGGGTGTAATTCCACCGCCAAAACCCCATTAACGGGAACTATTATACGTATAGAGGAGCTAGAAGCCCAGATAGGAGGAAAAATAAATATTTTATCACGCAGCATAGGTAAATAGCTGATAAGCATATCATTTATGAAGACATAAGATCCACATACTACAAATATTTTAGCAGTGGCATTTTTAATAATCTCCAAGTTTTTGTCGGCAATTTTGTATTGTAGTTTATAATCTCTTGTGCCAGGTCCATATGAAATTTTAAACTCGACACAAATACCATTACTACTCATGTACTT